AGTTTCTGTTTGTATATCAAAGTACTGCATGAATACTTACTTATCTGTTGATGTCTTATTAATATGTGATTGATAATGCACTCAAAGATTTAAAATAACCTTCTAAAACATTTCAGGTTGATAAGAAAATGGAATAGTTATCACTTGCATTTTTTTAGCAACTTTTCATTTCTTCACATCGATGCTAATTTCTCTGCAAGTTGTAATAAGGAATTATCAAAGGTTCGTGGCTTTCTACTTTGTAAATTATTAAAATTAAACCAGTAAAAAAGATTAGAAAAAAGCAAAAAAGTGTGTAATAAGTAAATTTTGAAAGTGCACTTTACGTGACCTATTTTAAGTCATTTACACCTTTAATCATCGCATTCATTTTTTTTCTGAATGTATCACTTGAAGATATTCAGCAAATAATAATGAAGATAACTTTGCTTATATAACAGCAATGATGTGTAAATACTAAAAATTAGTCATTAATCGTTGTTTTCTTTTCTTCAATTTACGGGAGAATTGTTTGTAATAGTTTTTTGAAGAATATTTGCTTCATGTCTATGTAAACATACACCCAAACATACTCATACATACTTGCACATTTGCAATTACACCTCTATATATTATAAAAATAATAGATAAGCTATAAACATATAATGTTATTTTTTTCAAGCTCTGAATCTGCACCGAATATCATAAAATAAAAGTTTACTGAAGTGAAATGAGGTACATAATTATGATCGAAATGAAGTTTCAAGAATCATCACAATATTATATCAAGAATAATCTTTATCGAGGTCACTATTTAGTTAAAAATTATTGATAAGTTTGCAAATTCGAAAATGAATTTGCAATCTTACTTAAAGCCAATTTTTATCTTACTATGAGTGCATATTATTAATTAACCAAAAACTTGTGAAAAAATTGCAAATTTAGATGAAATAACTTGAAGTTACTTTTCAATTTTGTTCGAAAAATTTTCCAGATACTACCTAAATCAGTGCTGATAATTTTACAGCACTATTTTTGTATTCCTGCGCTAATTGCTAATTAAGATGTTTTGCTCTGCTCAGGTACTTAAAATTCTTTCTAATCATTAGAAGAAAATGAATACAATTTAAACTGAATTATTTTTGATTTAAAATGGTTTATTCTTTCGATTTGTAATCAATTTCTTATTTAAAGTTTATATAAAATAAAAAGTAACGTTTGTAATTTTCTTGTTGTATTTTAGATTGCTTGAAAAATTTAGACATTTTTTAAATATAGCATTGATTGTTTTTTATTTCAGCTCTTTAAACATAATTACCTGAGCATTTCAGAAATTTGAAATACATGAGGAATCAATATTATGTCATAAACTAAAGAAATTAATATCAAATATGTAACTTTATATTAAATTTATAATGATGATGTCATTTTGATAAAAATTTAAATTATTGTATTTTCAATAAATATAAAATAATATACTAATCTTGTATGTATCCTTATCATCAGTAACACAAACATTTGTTACAGTGAGAAAATAATAAAACATTAAATACGGCTTATTTTCAAATAATTTTTGAATTAATAAACTTTCAGTAAATATTCATTGTTTGACGACAGATTTTCAAATTAATTAGCATAATTTTTATTACTTTAGCTAATTTATTCCTGATGAAACTTTTTTCAAACTAACTGCAATTTTTTCCTGATGCAGCTTCTGAATTTTAAATTGAATTCATAACAGTCTTATTGCACTCTTGTAAAAAAGAGAGTTTGAATAACTGTACTACTTAATGTCTACTTTTTAATCCAATTTATGTTTACTACTTTTTTTGCAATTACAACTTATTAAAAATATAATATTTTGCGTATGTTTTTGCTTCTATCTCATTTTATCATTTTTTTTATTCAAAAAAATGATGTGATATGATAAAAAATTTGACCTCATTACGTGTCAGTAATGTATCGAACGAATGAATGAATGAATGTACGACGTAATGAAGCACTAGTGCTACACTGATAATGTGCTGTTTATGTTTTTATCACTTCCATCCATCTATCACTCTCTCACTCACTCACTCCCTCACTCACTTACTTGCTTACTTACTTATCCATCCATTTCATTCGTTTAACAATTATCTCTTCTTTATTTCTTCTTGCTAAATATTCTTCGAACATTCAAAGAAGTTGTTATAAAGTTTGAAATTGCTGATTTATTTCAGTTGTTTTAAATAAAATTAAACTTCCGCGCTGAATAAAAACTTTAAAAAATGACTGAGAGGTTTTTTCATATTTATTTTTAAAATTTCTGACATTTCTACAAATATTTTATGCATATATGTATGGAATTAAATTTCGCTCGTGTAATATCATTATAAATGATGTAAACATAAAATGATGATATTTTTAAAAATAATCAAAAGTTTTCATGTTAAAGTTATCATAAACTAAGCATAAAAAGAAAAAATAAATTTTAATAAAAATAAAAAAGTAAGTAATCACTTTTTTTGCTTTTAATTAAAGTGAACAACAATAAATAAAAAGGTTAATAACTGTAATTGTACAAATCGCTTGCAGTATTTTTGGCAAACAAATAATATTCCAAAAATCAGTCGTTTTTTCATGCCTTTTAAAAAGAACTCTAATATATGTTGTTTTCCTTTTTCCATGTCTATAAAGTAATACGCGAAATCTTTGAGCAATTTTTTTCGTGTATTTTTCCAAGTTTCAACTTTTGTGATTACTTATGACGAATGTAAAGTAAAGTATTTGAACTTTGACTCCTTCTGAAAATAATGCAACAAAGCATAACTCACTGGCAGATTGTAGCTCTTTTGTGTTACCTTATTTGTACCAAAATATTTGCTTCCTTGAAAAATTATATTTGAATTCTTTTCGCAATTCTTATTACTTTGTGTACTAATATTG